CAACACCCGAAGGTCCTGCCTCGCCCTCGGAATCCAGCTCACCATCAGCGGCGTCGGCCATCTCCTGAGTAATGCGCGAGGTGGATATCACACTAATATCAAGCTCGGGGTATGTATTCCGGATCATCCACCGGCTTAGTTTAAAGCCCTTTCTGTACGAGTCCACCATCAGGTCATCAAAGCGCGGCGAAGCAATGTACTCGTCAAAAGCCTTCTTCTTGGCGTCCTCAATGCCTTGGGAAAAAATCTGCGTCCTCTCCCTGATATCCTCCTGAAGATACTCGACTTGGTGCTGCAGGTCCAACTTCAACTCCGCCATATTCTTCACCACCACTCCCATGGCCTCAGCATCCCTCTGAGACCTCGCCTGCTGACCTGTGCGCACGAGTAGCCGCCTCGGCAGCTCGGGAAGCCGCCTTGGCAGCACAGAATGCCTCTTCGGCAGCTCGCGCCTGCCTCGAGCTCCTTTCCACCTGGGCCGCCAAGGCATGGATTGAAGAATTCACCTACCAAAAGGGGAAGAACAAAATGATCGAAGGAACGACGGAAGGATAAAAGCAAAGAGCCGGACAAGAAATCTGACTTACCACCATGGCATGAGTGGCAGCACGACAAGCTACCTGGTTCAATGGAAGCTCGGACCATGTCGTGACCTCCTCAGGATAGATAGCCTCCCTACTCTTCTGCAGAGCGTAGTTCGGTGATAACACGCTCCTGAACTCGCCTTGGGCCCCCGAGCCTGAGGGCCCAGCTCGCGTGTAAGCAGATTCAGAGTAAGCAGGAGCCCCCGTATAAGTAGCTTCGGCATAAGGAGCCCCTGCCGCATCATGGACTGGAGGGGCCATCTTGGGTTCCCTAGGCGGATCCACAGATGGATAGTCCGGTACTTCGGGCTCTGCGTCTGTGGGCACCTCGGCGCAAGTTCGTTTTGCAACCCACTTCCTCCTCTTCATGCCGTGAAACAACTGCCCGCCGCGAGTCCTCTCTAAGTCCATAACACCTGCAAAATGAGTTCGGCATCAGGAAAAGGCGAAAGAACAAAGCAAAACAAGACAAACCTGAGTAAGGAACCTACCCGAACTCAAACCGGCCTCAATGAGCTTGGCCTCCGACAGATAAAGATGGCATTTTATCCCAAGCCGTGCCCATTGCCGAAGGCCCTTCGCCGTCTCTTTATCAAGCGTAACACCGGAGTCAGGGGTGGCCATTTCCCACCCGGTTTGAAACGGCCACCCCAATACACTTCGCACCCCGAAATAATCCCGCTTCCACGTCGGGACCTTGTTGGGAAGTTCGTGTAAAAGCTTAAAACCTGGGCGGGGAGACAGGTAATACGCCCGCCTATGCCCGGGAAGGGGACCCGCTTGCTTCTTAAGCATTAAGATGGAAGAGAAGATCTCCAAGTCTAAAGGGAAGCCCTGTTCGCAAAATAAGGAGATTGTCCCCACCAAGTTACGAATGGAGTTCGGGTGAAGCTGGCCGACAGTAACGCCAAAGTGGTTCATGACCTCGACAAGGAGGGGATGGAAAGGCAGTCGCAGCCCCGCAGTGAGCTACTCCCGGAATATCACGATCTCTTCAGGACCGTGTTCCCAAGGAAAGCTACCCGAAGGTATGAAGTAGGCGTACTCCCCAGGCAAGTTGTAACAGGTAATAAGGGATTGGAGCCCCTCAGGCGTCATGGTCGAGGGACCGAACTTGTCTAACGTTCGACCTCGACGAGAGGTGGACGCCAAGCTACCCGAGGTGGCTCGGCCTACGGGTTCGAACTCTTCCTCGAGCTCTACCTCCGGTTCGCTAGGACCATCAGGGGATGCAACTCGGTTCGTAGAACCTGCACCAGACCCCCTTGAAGAACCGTTTGAGCTATCCGAGCTAGACATCGGGGAGAGAAGATGGATCCCAGGAAAGTACTCACCCGGAAAAATGCTTGAACGGACTACAGGAACTGGAACACGAGCAGATGACCTTGATGGCGAACTAAAGGCTTGGACGCGAGCTCAAGAAGCAAAGCGCAGAAGTGACAAGCAACTGGGGTCCCCCCACTATTTATACCCACAGTAACCAAGAATCAACGGCTCAGATCAAATCCAATCCGACGGCCCGCAGTCACACTGACCGCACATCTCCTGAGACCAAGACGTGACTGGCCACACGTCTCTCGAAACTGACCGCACGTCTCCTCACATTAACGGCGGCAGCAGCACGTTTTCAAATTTGAAAAGACGCCCGCTGTCGCATCTCCCAGCGGTGCGCTTTTTTGAATTTTGAAATAAAGCGCGCGCTGTCACGTCTCCCAGCGGCACGCTTTTTGAATTTTGAAATAAGGCACGCGCTGTCACGTCTGTCAGCATTTGTAGGCAGATCAGTGCATTTCCCGTCTTTTGGGCGCTCGAGAAGCCCAAATAATCCTGACGATGCACCTCGCGCTATCAGTCAAACCGAAGTACGGGACAAATCCACCCGCCACCTCGCGAACTCCCTGCGCCAGGGCAAGACCCTTAGCACGAGGAGTGGGGGGCAATTGATGAAGGAAGATTTGGCCCGACCTCGTAACCACTCAACACATGGCAAAGGCAACAGTTCGGCACAACAGCTCGCCAAGGCGCGAGCTCCGAGAGGAGGAACCAGTGGTCCAAACTCCCCGCAAGGAGCCCGAGCTCTCCCTTAGGCCCCGAGCCTTACGAACACAAAGGGCAACAACCCGAACTAGCCTGCCCCATGGCAGGCCAGGCCACACCACTGTCCGAACTCAAGACTTCACCTCGCACACCACTCCAGCACTTCGCCCCCGGGACACCGAACTGAACAAACCGTACCTAACACCGAAGGAGTCCGTATCCAGGGGCGGCGCACCTGACTGACTTGGGATTTGACACTTGACAGCCGCATTCCAACGGCCACCTGCCACCACCATCTCCAGTTACAGAGACGGCTCCGACAAGGAGCAATGGCGGTTCTGTCCCAGCAGAGGTGATGACACCCAAACTGGTAGAAACACAGAAGTAATCATACCCGACCTGACAGAGGCCTTGGAGTGAGTGCGCGAGGTGGTTATAAAAAGGCTCTCTACCCCCCGAGGAAGGTACATGAACTTTGCGCCATCTGGTTTTATCTTGCCTTTGAGAGAATACTAACTTGAGCTTCGGAGTGATCTCGCCGGGTTCCTCCCCGGAGATTCCCCACTTTCTTCGTTTCAGGCCCCCCTGTTGCTCCAATCAGAGGCAAGGTCGTTGACAGCCAGGATCGGCCGGATTGCGCACCATCAGGTACTAAATTATTGCATTTTAAAATTGGAAGACTAAGAGAATGTTTGGTATCGTGGATGTTTTTCTGAAAAATGGTGCCACATCGGATCCATATAGGTGATTCCACTTTTCACTGCCTACATGACTGTTTGGTTCAGGCAATTTTTGAAAAAAAAAAAAATGAAACAGGCATGCATCATAAATTGCATCTATCAGCGAACCGTTGCCCCCAACGGCTATATGATGTGGCACTTACGTGTATCCTAGTAGTCAATGGAAAAATGGTGTAATGTGTGCACGTACATGAAAAAGAACGATGGAAATCACATTACCAAACAGCATTAGCATTACTTACTACCTACGTGCCAGAAACACTATCAAAGATATGAAGATGTTTATTTGTGAAAAATGGATTTAGCAAATATAAGCATTTTTTTAATCGGTAGAAAAAACACCCAAACTTCAAAACACAATCTAAAATGGCACTATGCCCGTACAGCGTATTAATGGAGAATTTTCTCTTTTGATAATATCCCTACATTTAGCCAAACGTCCCTGCCGCAGGCCCGCAGCTTTTGAGAGTAGACGGAAACATTGAATTAAAGGTCTCAGTTATTAAATTAAGGCCATCTTTGAATTGGCGAAAGTTGAGAGCCCAGATGAAAAGCTTCCAATCACACGCATGCATGCAGCAGTCCATCTCGATCCGAAGCAGTACAGAAATGCGCATCTATGTCGATTAATCCGCCGCTGCCTCCCTGCCTGAGTTTCCGAATTTACTGTTGCTCGCTCAAATGGCTGAACGACGGAGATGGGTCAACTATATACTCAGAGGTCCAGGAACAGTGTGTTTCAAGTTCTAACTCCTGAGCAAGACGCCGACGTGGAATTATCTTGTCGATAAAAACAAATGGACAAGATTTCGTAATAAATTGTAAATCAAAGGCCAGAAATAATGAGATGGATAAAGTGAAGAACAATATAAAGAGAGAGCGAGAGAGAGAGAGAGAGACTCGATAAATTGTCTGAGTGACAAATCTGTAATCTCCCTCCCTTGAGTTGCTCGCCCACTGAACGGTAACTGATGGCAGCAAATAAGCTCCTCTCATCTCATCATCTCTCTTCTCCTTTTCTGCCTTGCAAATTCTATACCAGAAAGTTATCTCACAACCAGCCATCACTCGGACGGGCTCCACCAGCCCCCAGAGCCAAGAGGCTCGTCTCCTCTGCCTCCCTCCACGATCTTCTCGGTCTCACCTCCTCTTCTGCTGCCCTGTTCCATCATCATGTCCACAACCTCTCTCTCTTCTCGCTAGCAGAGAGCGTGGGCTATTCCTTGGCCAGCTATTACACTTCCCTGGGTCTCTTCGTCATTTCTGTTCCAGGCTTATGGTCTCTCATCAAACGCTCTGTAAAATCCAAGGTATTTTTTTTTTTCTGATTTCGGCAGATGAAGTGATTTTCCAAATTAGAATTCTGAATGCCTTCTCATTATTATTATCTTTTTTTTTTTTTTTTCCTTTGTGCGAGTAATTCCAGGTTGTGCAGAAGGCATTTGTAGGCGAAGGAGAAGATAAGAAAGTACCAAATCAAGTTGCAGGAGAAATTCTATCTTTCTTCACCCGCAACAATTTCACCGTCTCCGATAGAGGAGAAACCATAACGTAAGCACGAAATCCAACAGTCACCATCTTTTGTTTATCTCTTACTCTTAGCACTGCAAGCAGTTAATAGGATTCTAATCCTCATCCATTTTGATTTTTAGGTGTAATTATAATTAGAATTTTGGTGGTTACTCAATGGCAATACACGTTAGAGTATATCTTAGACTAATAGTTACAACTATGAAGTGGTTCAAACAACTTGCCAAGATTCTAACAAATTCTTCTAGCTTTGAGTAGTGGCCAGCTGTCTATTAGTCTAAGAGTAGACTTGTATCGTAATCGGTCTCTGCCATTAAGAGATCATCACTGCGCACAACTTCAATTTCTTTCATTGAATTGAATTTCATCAATTGTAATCACAAACTTGTTAATATTTGATCGGGGTGTTTGTCTTAATTAAGGTTTGAAGGCATGATGGTTCCAAGCAGAGGACAAGCAGCATTGCTGACTTTCTGCACTTGTATCAGCTTGGCAAGCGTCGCCCTCGTTCTTACTATAACAGTTCCCGATGTAGGGGATAACTGGTATTGGCTCACCATCTTAAGCCCATTAGCGTAAGTGAAACAACTATGATACCCTGAGAAGTGAGAATTATTGCTGCATGTTTGATGAAGAGATCTTTACATCCGTTATACGATGCAGAGGGGTCTACTACTGGACGCGTGCATCAAGAAAGGAGCAGATAAAGGTTAAGATGATAGTAGCAGATGATGGGACACTCTCAGAAATCATCGTCCAAGGAGATGATCAACAAATAGAGCAAATGAGGAAGGAGCTTCAACTGAACGAGAAAGGCATGGTATATGTGAAAGGCATTTTCGAAAGATAATGATAAAGAAAGATTATAGAGGTTCAATTAATCTTGGTTGGACTCTCCCATCATGCACTTGACTCGTCAGCTGCCGAAAGAAGAAAGAAAATGGAAGGAAAACCCTGTTATTCTATTTGTTCAGTATCTGTTTTCTCTTTCATCCAGAAATGCCTTGGCAAATTTTGAGATATGTTGTTACGGCTTATTACATACATGTGCCCTTAACTTGGACTTATATCAAAAAGTATTTAACTTTTAAACATTTATCAGCATTTGCAGTTGCCTTGACTCCAAGGGTTCCCTCTTCACATCCAAAAGTGAATTAAGAGTAGAACCACTTGATTTCAATTTTCAAAAACCTGTTTGCAATTCAAGGGGTTTAAGTGAACTTGTAGGTGCAATCCAGAAGGAACTCTGTAACTAATCAATCTCAGTGAGTTGTTTTTTGGTTGCTTGTATTCCATTAATCCATAAGTTTATCCTCAAAAATAATCCATTTCCAGTGCATATGGAAGTTCTTATACAGATTTCTTCGCAAACAGGTTTGAAGCCAAAATGAGGAATAAAAATATACAAAAAGGCCAAGGGGCATTGACTATCTGCCAAATGTGTTGGTTGCCAGGAAACTGGAGCTTACAGAACTATGCTCTTGTAAGAAGATCACTCTCCTACATACTTGAATTAAACACTGGTGAAAATAGCCGTGGATGCACCTTCTTAAATTACATGGAGCCTACTACGTTCTCTAGGCAGCTCATGATGCAATATCTCTGCATAGAATGACAGTATTTATTAGGTTTCAAGACTATGTTGACAAATGACAAGTTGGACAACCAAGCAATGAAAGGAATCATTTTCAAAAGAATATATATATGTCACAGGAAACGAACCAACCTCAATGTTTACACAACAATCTACACGAGTGCAAGATGACTTGGCAGTCATCAATTTGGTATGATTTTAAGGAGTTCAATGTCGAACAACAGAGTCTTGTCTATAAGTCCTTGATTCTTAAGCACAAAATCTAAAGCTCTTTGACCCTGGTAAAACACATTGTGGTGGGGACAGTTGTTTTCAGGTATAACAGAAATATAAATATCACTAAAATGATAAAAGTAACTGGTACCGAAAATGTCGTTGGTCTTGGGCCCCTTTTGTTGAAGTCATTCTCTGGATATCCCAGTTCTGGGGGCACTATTATCCTGCATCACTGTCAAATAAAATGTGAAATGCACAGTCATGGACATCCAAGTCCTGATGGACATTATAGGCAATGTTGTTAAAATCTTACGATTTATGATACAATTTATGATTTGAATCATGAATCCCAAGGGTTTCAATTCGAATCTTGTGTTTGAATCCTTTTCTACAAAAATCTTAAATCCTACAATTTGATTCATAAATCTTACAAGTTATATGATTCCTGCAATTCATTACGATTCAAATCAATTCAATTAAGAATGAGTTCTCTACTTTGTCATGTTGTTTTGTTTATATTAATCCACATTAACGGCCATGCCATGTTCATATCATGGATCAGATGAAGCTCCTTGATTATCTGAAGTTGTAATTCTCAAAATAAGCTAATTATTTGAAAAGGCAGGATCGATCACCTTCTAATGCCACCAAGAGCCATGCCTGAAACAGCTTCCTCAAAAGCTGGTATTACCTGAACAGTCAATCAGGTGGAACCATTAGGGTCTAAGTGCTATCATCCAATCAAATGTGAAGGAAAGTATTGAGCATCATTCATAAGTCATAACAAATACGGCAAAGTAAATTAAGATTAATATACATGGATGCACTATTGATGTGCATGCATGCACAACTAGTTTCAGGGCTTAATAATAGTAAAAACATGCAAAAATATGAACTTTCAGAATAAATGATATAGAGATATTGCCAATCATTAGGTGATCAATGAAGAATTGGATGAAAAGAAATTTAAAGAACTCAAAAAATGGAAACCTGAAGAGACAAAGCTCTTTTTCTGTTCATTAGACTGCAGCAACTGCATATGGTAAACAGTTGAAAGTAAAAAACAAATTTCTCACCTGTTGGGTTCCAAGTTTAAATTTGAAGAAGTCCTTGTCATCACCCTACATAGTAAGAGGCAACGTTACATATCTTGTTCAAAATTATAAGATTTAAGCATAGGATACACACCAAGGTTTGTGCATCTCATCTATTGAAACTTTAATGAAGTAAAACATATAAGGACCTAATAGAAGGACACAAGCAACTACCTCAAAGGAACCACCCTTTGTTTTGTTGCGAGCTTCAAAGATGCGGCCATAGTACCCTATGGTATAACCATCCCAATCAACCTTAGAAGCATTTACAATTCAGAACGAAGTTTAGAATTTTTCCAACTTGTTTGTAGATCACCAAAGGAGAGAGAGAGAGAGAGAGAGAGAACAGAAAAAAAAATTTAAAGATACAGAGTGACATCAAAGAATTGTTGAATTACCACAACTGTTTCCCCCATCTTTGGTGTGGAGCCACTTCCTACTCGCAAGTCCTATATCCTTCAGGTTCTGAATCAAATTCCATTCTCTAGAATGTATTTTTTTCTAAATGCAAATATATGGACATTTTCTTGTGCTTTCTAGTATATTACCTTGTACTGAAGACCTGACTCTGTTTCTGTATAGTCTGGATACCTCATTTTTGTCTTCCCATAATCCTTCCCTCGAAGTGCTGGCACTGTGCATCCAAATGTAGTGCCAATGGTAAGTCCTTACTAAACCTCTAACATTGCAATGCTGACAATTGTCTGGAATCAAGGAACCATGTATGTTGGACTGTTCAAGTGTTCATGGTTAAGGATATGGGTACAAACCATGAAGGGTAAGGTAATAATCCTAGAACTCTTACAGTACACTCAGACTCCCACCTTATATTGTGATTTGACATACATGTTCACCAGTCCAGTCCAGAGATCCAACCAATTGCCAACTTTTCCATTTGAAGAAGACCAATATTCAGCCAATCAGTTCTTTGAGTGGAGGCCATCAATTTGATTTTAGAAAATTAACTGATTGGCCAAACAGATGGTATATCTCAATGGAGTTAGACCATGTTTAATTCAAAAGGCACCCCCATCAACTGAATGTTCTAGATTGAATGAGCAGAGTTTGCATTGCATATTAACAGGGATATATTTATAAAATACAACCTCATTTCTCCAATTATTAGAGCTTAAACACTTCAAAAACATAAATGCGGATGGGATGCAGAAGGAAATATGAATTTCAATGATCTTGAAGGAGAAAACTTTCACCATACAACGAAAGGATACTGCAACTTACTGTCAGCAAATTCAGATGCTACGGCTAAACCATTATTTGTACTCTGCGAGTTGATGCCTGCTATAAGTCCAATAGCTGAGAGAAGCATTTCCCTACGGTCAAAAGTCTCCGTAGCGCCCATGGACCCAGTTTCATCTACAAAAATAGCACAAGGTCGAGCAGAAAAATAAATCTTGTGCAGTAGTTCATCTTTGTGGATACCCATAAGTGCACATTAATACATGTTAAGCATCTCATCCTTGGTAAGGATTAAATAAATTAAAAAAAAAAGTAAGGATTAAAGACTCAGATTTTTTATTTTCTCGACAAGAAATAAAGGCATGGTCTTGAAATATCCAAGCTCGATAAATTTCTATAAAAGAAACTCTTTTTGCACAAAAAAAAAAAGAAAAGAAAAGCAAACTAACAAAGTCAAAAAAAAAAAAAAAAAAAATGAAGTGGATAAACTTGGTTTCTAACATACGCTGGTGAATCAATGTGGTTTAAAGGACTATATGAATTTGAAAACAAATGAAGTGGATTAGACTTGGTTTTGAACATGCGCTGCGGTACAGTCTCCAAGCTCCATTTTTTCAATGATGAATCATCAACGTGGTCTGAAGGACTATCTGAGTTTGAAAATAATTCAAACTTTGAATTGATCGTTTGAAGAGTGTTGTCCTAAAAACTCGAGCAAGGCCAGATCAAAACGCATGTGTCTTCTCTTTCTCTTCTTTTTTCCAAGTAATAGTGAAGTTTGAACAGTAAATTAGTGAGAAAAATAAGATCTTCTACTCACTATTTACGCTCAAAATAGTTAAAGTGCAATTTCTCTCTGGCTTCCAAGAAGACTCGCGCATTATCCATCTTCTCCATTTCTGAGATATCAAATTTAAAATAAATTGAACCCCATCAGCGAAAGAAATATGTGAGATCATTCATCAATAGAGAAACAACGAAATCAATTTTTTTATTGATGTGCACGTCTTATCCAATCAAAGGGCGAACATTCGATGATTTGGGAGGAAAGGTAATCAGATAGAATAGTGAGCTGAATTGGAGAACATAAACCCTAAAATAATTATCTCAGAATGCCAAACGTAGAGCACTAAGGCGTACCTTCGGCGACGATTTTCCAATACAGAAAATCGATGAATTCGGAAGAGACCCAATAGCTGCAACTGATGCCATCTATGGTTGAGAGAGAGAGAGAGAGAGATGGGTTTCCACTGTTTCGCGGGAAGATAACGGCCTCATCTTTGAGGTGTAGTTGAGTGACTATTATACCCTCAATCTCTTGCCCAACAAAACAAACGGATGTTACGGAGGCAACGTGTTTGTTAACATTTTGAATGGCTATTTTACCCTCACCTTCAAAGCGGCAAGCAAGGAACTGAATGGTGACAGCCAAAGGAAAACTGCCATAGTTACGACTTACGAGTTATCCCTAATTCCCTAACACTAGGGACAAGGGAGAGAGCACTTTTAATATTTTACATTCTCCATGTATGAAGGAAGGTCAATGACATTTTTCAAAAGAATAGAGACCAATTACCAACATACCACAGATGAACTGGCTAATCATACCAATTAACATGTCACTCGGACGGGTTTTGAATCAACAAGTAATTGACTCAGTCAATGACATGATGAATTGCTCATTGAGTGATTGAACTACTAGACTGTTTGATTTGTTAACTACCTGTTGGTGCCAAACTTTGACAAATCCAAATCATAAAAACAACTTCAAGAGGTTAATCTTTCATTTTTCAGCCATCCCTTTTTCAATTCACCTATAGAAATTGTAATCAGTGGCTGAGTGAGTTTTTTTTGGTGGAGGCCAAATTAAACAAAAAAAAATGAGATAGGGAGTAGAAGAGGTAGGGTTTGGAGAAATTTTCCTGAACAGGTTTGGATCTACAACAATTTTATTAAAGAAAAAATAAACTTTTTTTTAATTTTAGGAGTTGTAGGAGTGTTAAAGAGTGATATTTTACATTTTAGTTCAAGGTTGGGGGCAAGGACCCACTTAGTAATCATATAAATAATGGTTTTAACTAAAAGTTTAGGGGGGATCAAGGACCTACTTTATTATATTTTTTATTCTTTTTCCATTTTTTTAAGCCAAAGGCAACTAAATTAATCTCAAAAAAGGTTACATCTCACCCAAAGCAATAAACCTGACGAAATCTTGAGGAGTCGACCAGCTCATAGCACATTTGTGTCTAAAAGCATGATTAATTAGCCCATGGACTAGTGATTACAAGAGCGAGATATATGAGTAAAGATGGTTGAAGGAAAGCATGAAGCAAGATGTTTGCACTCAAAAATGGTAGAATGTAATCTCCAAGGAGGGTCTGCACCTGAAGAGAGAATGTCTATAATATTTTTTGCATCACTTTCAATGATGAGAGAATCTATAGACATCCCAATGGCACATCTCAGACCCTCCAAAATCGCCAAAGCTTTAGCTTCTATAGGGGACAAACAATGGAGGGGAGCAGGTCTTCCCAGAATGAAAGCACCATTGTGGTCTCTAATAACAATGCCTAATGCCGAGTGAGAAACACTCTACATGGAACATTCAACTCTTAAATTTTTTCTGAGAATGAAATTATTCAACAAATTACAAAGATAGTTATCCCTCAGGTTGATCCTTTAACTAAAGGCAAGCTGATCTGGTCTCTTACTCCCCATGGATGGGTACTACTGCAACTCTGGCTATAAATTGTTGTGTCAAGATATTTCAAAATCTTCTTAGGCTTCCTATGTTTGTGCAGACCTTAGCTAGAAAGAACTATGGAAAATGAAAACTTTAATTCCCTATGTCAAGATGCTTTTATGGAGATGTTGTAAGAGAGCTCTTTCAGAAAAATTCAAAACTGGAAAAACGATCAACTAATATTGAAGCTGCTTGCCAACTATTAGGGAATCGGATGAGATTCTGCATCATCTCTTGTTTCACTGTCCAGATATTCAGCCTATATAGTTTGCCTCTTTGGGTATCCGAATAGAGAATGTTCAGAAACATTACTTTATATTATCAGTTACAACATTGGAGACATATTGACAAAATAAGGGATCAGCACTCACATCTTCCAACTTTTGCTCGGGGGGTAATTGTAATGTGGTTCATTTGGAAGCAAAGAAACAAAATGATCTTTGAGCAACAAACTATTAATCCAATTCAAACTTCTTGCTGCAATTGAAGCTCATTGTGCCTTACTCTTAAGATCCACTGTTTCAGACTCAAATACTAATAATGTTCATTCTCAAATCTGCCTGGGTTGGGGGGTGGGGGGAGGGCCCACTTTATTACATTTTTGACCCTTCCCCCCACTTAGTAACCGTATAAATAATGTTCTTAACTAAAAGTTTGGGGGGGGAGGGAGAAGGACCCACTTTATTACATTTTTTACCCTTCATTTAGTTACCATATAAATAATGGTTGGGGGAGGGGGGGAAGGACCCACTTTATTACATTTTTTATCCTTTCTCCACTTAGTAACCATATAAAAAAGGGAAAATTCCCAATTAGTACCCTGTATTTTAGGCTTAGTGCCACTTTGGTCCCCAAACTTCAAAACGCAACAATTCAATATCCAAACCTTCAAAACGTGCAAATCCAATACCAGTCATTAAGTGACATTTGAAAACACATAAATTCCCTTCAAATGTCATCTAATTTTCTTTAACAACCATCCAAACATTAATAAAAAATGAACAATCCCAAATCCTTGCCGCTTCTATTCAATAAAGTTAGGGTTACTTCTCAGTGGACATTTTGATGACATCAACTTTCTTAAATAGAAGAGGAGAGACTTGGGACTATTCATTTTTTATCAATGTTTGGATGGTTGATAAAGAAAATTAAATGACACTTAAAGGGCATTTGTGTCTTTTCAAATGCCACTTGGGTCAGTTAACAGTAGGTACTAAATTGGCACGTTTTGAAAGTTTGAGGACCAAAGTGACACTAAACCCAAAGTACAAAGTAATAATCAATAAATTTCCCTATAAATAATGGTTTTAACAAAAAGTTTGGGAGTATCAAAGACCCCCACCAATATACTTGGCTCCGGCCTTAATTGTAAAAATAGTGCACATGATCTAAGCTCAATATTGCATCAAAACAAATCAAAATTGGCGTTTTGATCTGATTTAATTTTAAACGATTTGGTTTTGTCTGAAATTTTTTTTATATATTTTGGTTTTTAAAATTTTAAAAGTCAGATCAAACCATAAACCATATTAAACCAAATTATTAATTATATTTATTAGTATAAAGCTAGGATCGAGCCTTTTTTGGCTTCAAAAGCAAGAGTGAAGTTACTGCTCGTGGGACCCATAAGGCTGTTCTACGGATTATTTTGACCCTTTTATGTTATTCATCATACAATTATAATCATTCCCCACGAGAAAAGAATGCCATGAAGGCCTCCTTTGTCTCTCCTTTTACCACTCAGAATCTTTTTCATATGTATATTCGTAAGAGATTGGGATTCGGTCAGGGTAACTCCCGTTTCAACAGCCTTATCACCGTAATTATGTGCTTTATTTCATAGAGAGATATTTTTAATACAAAATTATAAAAGGGTATGAATATGGACTTGTCCTGATGAAGTCAATCTTCTTCTAAGCCAATAATTCTTGACTTTTGGGTGGCCAGTGTTATTTACCCACTTCAGAGTTCAATAGATAGATGTGATTTTTGTTTTTTTCAGATAAATGCCGAGAACTGGGATCTACTTCTCAATGTGCCTCACACCAACCTCACAATCACATCCTACTCTGCATTTAGAACATCTCCTATGAACAATAAACATAATTATAAGAGATATTTCCAATATATGATTCAAACATATTGTGAGATAGGTGAGAGGTGCGCTTTGTAAGGAGTAGATCGGAACTCAAATACTGTTCCCAATAGAAGGTGGGATGAGTTGTAAAGTAACTTCATATATGCTCTCACAAATCGCACCCCACCATGTATTCGGAGCATCTCCGCATGAATAATATACACTCATCTGCCCCCCCCCCCAAAAAAAACGTCCCACGGACTCACAACGCGCCGCGTGTCCTCCCACACGTGAATAGGTCATCTCTCACTCTCTCGAATAGAGAATCTCAGCTTCACTCGAACCCTCGACACTTTTTAATCCTCAGAATGTTTGGATTAACGTTCTTGCAGTGTTGCAGATGTGCAGCCATCTTTGAGTTAGAAAAATGAGAAAAAACAGATTTGAGAACAGAAGAACTGAGAATAAAGAGAGAAATTTACCTTCACTAAATAAAGCTGCCGGAATGATCATCGGCGTCGATCAAGGGAACTCGAAGATGGCAAGCTCCGGCGGGTTTTAGAGAACACACTCCAGGTCGAGGGTTCGAGTGAGGCTGAGATTCGAGAGCGAAAAGTGAGAGATGATCCATTTTGGGCGAAGTAGGAGCTAACGGGACGAACTAACGGCCGTCCCATTAGCTCCGCACGAGATAGAGGCATTCGCGTGTGAAAGGACACGCGGCGCGTTGTGAGTCCGTGGGACGTTTTGGGGGCAAGTCTGTGGGGGCGGATGCGAACTAACATTGTGGGATGAAGCTGTGGGGTCCTTGTGAATGCGTTGTGAGGAGCAGATCCGGTCTCATTCTTGTAAGGTCGGTGTGACGTGAGTTCTGTAAGTAGCAAATCCCGATTCGGCTAAGTGCTGATTTGTGAATAAATTCCGAAATACCGGTGACAGAGTGTAATTTCAACGTTTTTTTCCTTCTTAAAAAACAAAATAAAATAAAGGAATAAGGTAGAGAGGACTTAAAGGTCAGTTTCTAAGCAGCTTGTCTTCGGCTGTGAGATCGACTTCTCATCAAACTTCGTGAAACAAAATAGAGCTTTCATATACCCGCGTCGATGTTCATACATCTTCCTTTCTTCTCTGTTTCTTGAAGCAAATACCTCTGGTCCTCTGGGCAGCATTTTTATGTAAATCCTTACCTGCTGGCTTCAACTTCTATTTACCATGAACTATATTCCTTTTTCAAAACCCGAACACTAAGAAAACTCTCAACTACTCTTCATGCGACGTTCCAACAATCTTTTCCCATAAATAAAGCTTCCTCATTCTTTCGTTCTCTCTAGAGGAAACCACGAAGACCCATCTCAATATTTTTCATTTCGAGTGTTGATTTTCTCTGATCAAACACCGGTTTTCAAGGAAGGGTGGAAAAATGAAGGTTCCCATCTGGGTTTTTGTTGTCGTTGCAGTTCTTGCTACCGCGTTTGTTTTGAGGATTGGTGCTGAGGAGCTTGACCAAAGTCATCAGACGGAGAGAATTGCAGGTAAGTTTCTCTGATATGTCTTCATTGTTCATCTTATTTGGAACATGAGGCTGCAGGTTTCCATTCCACCGGTTGCCTTTTCCATACCCGTCATTTTGTATTTTTCCTATTTTCTTTTGCTTGTCGGATTTCTGCCTTTGTTAATCTTGCTTGAGGCCAGTTCTTGTTTTGCATTAGTTGCAAATTGTCGAAAAAGAGGGTAGAACTTGGATTTCTCTTCTCTTCTTTCTAGTAACTTATTATATCTCTTTGGTTCTTGTAGCAGTCGAAGTGTGGGAGTTTGACCCGTATAGGCTATATCTAAGTTCTCTTCTATGCTGAAGTAGTAGTGGAGAGAAATTGAAGATTTGTTTTGACGAACTTGAATTGAGATATGGCCCTCGCTTTTAATTCTATATATTGCTTGAATTTTGAGTCTTTTTTTAGAATTCCTACTTTGTTTTGTATGTAATTGAAATCTAGGGATGTTGGCTCCGGGGATTTGGTTTTATTTCCAAAGAAGTGGTACTGTGGGCCGGGAAAAAAGCCCTGCTCGGATTATTTAGATTGGTCCTGATTTATTACTATTGTTTGGAATTGGTTGGTGACTACATTTTTAGGTGCACATGTTTTGGTTGCTTTAATCAATTAAAAGCCATGATTCAGAATGATCCTCAAATTCATGGTGTACAGATGTGATTCTTATGGTTCAGAAATTGGCAACTCATTGGCCTTTGGCTGGAGGGGGTGCATCTATACTGGAAGATGAACTTGAGATTGTCAGGATCCAATCTGACATTCAAGAAACAGAAAATTTTACATACTTGTGTTTTTTGAGAGAGAAGGATGCATTATACAGTCTCTAGATGCAGGAAGAGAAAATGGCCAAAAGAAATAAAGAAAAAAAAAATCGATCTGCCTCTCTCCCCTTCAAGGCTTCAACATAAATGCTGAAAAGAAATATTTAAGTACATAAGAGATCTCATTATGATGATAATTGGCATAGACACATCAGAATATGCATTCCATCGAAGTGTAGTTTACCAATTTCTGACTTGACAGCCGCAAAAGGTTGCAAGTCTGGAGACACCATCATCTCTTATAACTCGCAACTCTTTAAGATGCCTTTCAATTCAATTAGATAGAATTTGCAACCATGAAGAATATAAGCAACTAAAGTCCAATCAGAATCAGTGGTAGCTGGTTCAAAGAGGAAATTTTACTTGCAATAAGAAAATATAAAGAATATGACTATTGGGTATTTGGACTTGGTGGCAAGCCATTACCTATTCATCCTGACTCGGGTAATTCTAACTAGCTTAAGCTTATACAACACTACAGGTTGAGTGGACTGATATCTTGTGTCTCAGTTGATATGGCATGAATTACTCTTGTATAAGAAAAGAGTCCAAGCACTAGTAAGATTGTTCATTTTTTCATGTAGGGAGTTGACTGAGTCAACTTATTTATCTTTCTTTCCATCCAATATCCAAACTTAAAGTGTGAGGGCTCATGTCATTCTTAAAAGATGATAACTTTATATTGTTGTATACATGTGCATGCGTACTTTAAAATTGTTCCACCAAAACAAGAAAAGAAGTTTGAAATCACTCAAATGTTTCGGTTCTTGGGAAAATTCCAAGTATGAGATCTTTGACTGTGCTTAAAGTTTTTTTCACCAACTGTAGGGAGCGCTGGTGATGTCTTGGAAGATGATCCTGTGGGGAGGTTAAAAGTTTTTGTTTACGAACTTCCAAGCAAATACAACAAAAAAATCCTGCAGAAAGATCCCAGATGCCTCACACATATGTTTGCCGCTGAAATTTTCATGCATTGGTTTTTATTATCAAGCCCAGTTCGAACACTGAATCCTGAAGAAGCAGATTGGTTCTACACCCCTGTATATACAACTTGTGACCTTACACCTAATGGGCTTCCATTACCTTTTAAGTCTCCCCGAATGATGAGAAGTGCAATCCAGCTTATCTCTTCAAACTGGCCTTTCTGGAATCGGACAGAAGGTGCTGATCACTTCTTCGTCGTTCCCCATGATTTTGGAGCGTGCTTTCACTATCAAGTAATAAACTCACTTTCTCTTTTATGTTTTTGCTATACAAAAGAATAATAACTAGATGTTAGAAGAACAATAACTCATTTTTCCTACCTGCCTAGCTTTTTATCAAATTATGGATATGGCCAAGCATCAGTTGTTGGTCCCGTAAAATTTAAGGAAATAGGAAACTGGGGCAGATGTGTACATTTTCTGCCGTTGCTCTTAGAACATCCTTACAACCATCAATATGTTGTTATGGTTCTTTTTAATTAAGCCAATGTTAAAATGATAGCTTTTTTCTTGCTTTTTTGGTAGTTAATGTAACTTGATAATGCTTTCTATACTCTTAATTATTTTGTTTTTATATCAAACATTAACATAACATTTTAATATTAAAACACTGAAAACGTTGAGAAAAAACAGTAACTATTCAAAAAGAAAAGTTGTTTGACATCTGTAACTAGTTTTGTAACTGCAAATTATTATCAAAGTTGCTGGATGCTATTGGCAACCTTTTCAATTTTAATCATCTGGGAACCTTAAGGCCCAAACTAACTTGTAATGTAGAATTTTCTTGAGTTGTTGAGACTTGTTCATTAGCAAACCAATGGCCATATATATGACATGGGTCTCAAACTATATCATGTCTCTTGTCATTTGTCAATAGAGGATACCTTAGAGGTTTCTTCCAAGGGTCTAGGTAGCATTACCTGCATGTAGCACAAGTACAGATTGGTTTTCACCCAGAATTAATTGGTTTAGAAATGATTTCTTGATAATAAAACATTGTCTTATTTGACATATCATACCCACAAACTTTAATTGTATAGAAAGCGTGAGAAAGAATGGGATCTTCCTCAGGATGGAAGAATAATGGCAGTGGGTACACTAACACCACCTAAAATGCCCAAGTCTGGGAGAATATTCTGAGATGGGGGATTCTGATGTGCTATGTTCTGTTCATTCTTGGGATCTGATCCCCTTCTATAATTTTCATTGGAATTGTTGGACTTCATTAACTATTTTGTCTTTATCTGAATGCTTTTAGAAAGTCATGCCAAAGGAATGAGTGCGAGAATATTTGCTTGGCAGAACAAGCATTTCAGTTTGTTTTGTAATGAGAAATGATATATGCCTCTGAAATGTTATAATCAAACAAGCAGTTTCTCCCTAGTGTAATCTGTATCTTATGTTTCATCCATTTCCATCTCTGCAGGAAGAGAAAGCTATTGAACGAGGGATTCTTCCCTTGCTTCAACGTGCTACATTGGTTCAAACTTTTGGACAACGGAATCATGTTTGCTTAAATGAGGGTTCAATTACAATTCCTCCATATGCTCCTCCACAGAAAATGCAAGCACACTTGATTCCTCCAGATACTCCTCGGTCTATATTTGTGTACTTCCGTGGTTTGTTTTATGATGTGGGAAATGACCCAGAAGGTGGATATTATGCCAGGTATATTCCTTGTGAGCCTTCTGAACTCAATCAAATTACAAGGAAAGTTTGGAATTATCTAAATCATTTTGGACATTAGCAAATGGTTTTAACCCTGAAACTCATATTTTAGTTGTTAACCGAAACACACCTTTATGACTCTGTTGTTCAATTATACAGAGGTGCAAGAGCGTCAGTGTGGGAGAACTTTAAGAACAATCCACTCTTTGACATCTCTACAGAACACCCAACAACTTATTATGAAGACATGCAACGGGCTGTTTTCTGTTTGTGCCCTCTGGGATGGGCCCCGTGGAGTCCTAGATTGGTTGAAGGAGTGATATTTGGCTGCATTCCTGTTATCATAGCAGATGACATTGTTTTACCCTTTGCGGATGCAATCCCATGGGAAGAAATTGGGGTGTTTGTAGCAGAGAAGGATGTCCCCAAGTTGGATACCATTCTCACCTCAATACCGCCAGAAGTGGTACTGAGGAAGCAGAGATTGCTTGCTAATCCTTCAATGAAGCAGGCGATGTTATTCCCACAACCAGCTCAGCCGGGAGATGCTTTCCATCAGATACTGAATGGGCTTGCTCGAAAATTGCCACGTGACAAGAGCATTCACTTGAAGCCGGGGGAGAAAATCCTAAACTGGACTGCGGGCCCAGTTGGAGACTTAAAACCTTGGTGACACCAGTGGCATCTTGAGTTGAACATGTATCCTCGGTATGCTTACTCTGGCACCCAAGTGTTTGCATCATTTTGTGATGAAGGTATCAGTCTTCATGTCAAGTTGTAAATCTCTATTTTGTAGAAATGCTTGCATTATAGATTCTTTTTTTTTTCAGATGAAGATGAATGATGCATTCACTGTAACTTGGCCTTACTGGACARTTATAATTTGAGCTGAATGCCATGATCTTGGATTTTTTCCAGCTTTTTCCCATCTGTTCTAACTGGGGATTAGTCGACTCTGTTATGGAGTCTGATGGGTCGGAATGCAGAATAATTGAAACAAGTGGAAGTTCAGTTCAACGGATGGTGTTGTTCTGGACCTTCTGAGCACTAATCAATTTTACCACGGTTGACATGGTTTGGTTGGTTTGGGTTGTTGGTTTATGGCCAATAGGCAAATATGTTCTACTTTACCTTAAAAGGTCCGGAAATAAACTATAAGCCCGTCACCCGACAAGTTAAACAACCCAATGTGTCTTATGTATTAGGTTAGGTACAGTTAGGTGGGAAACCTCCCAAGTCCTAACAACTAAAAGATTATATATATATAAAGAGAGAGAGAGAGAGTTAAAAGTGGATTTTTGATAGGTTTTGGTAAGCCACTTAAAAAGTTTCTTGCTTGATGGATTTTGGGCCCAGTCGCTATTCAATAGAGAAGACTCTAGTGGCTATTGCTACTTGCTGGGGTGCCTTCAGTCAATGGATTGATGTACGATGGGAATAGGGGTTTGGAATCGGAATCGGAATGGGCTATTCCAATTCCAACTGTTTAGTTGGATGGAATCGGAATCTCATTCCCATTCCTGCTAGAATGGCCCCATTTGACGAAATGGTCATTTCCTGCCCCTCCATTGGGAATGAAATTCCATTCCTCCTGATTTGAATTCCAATTCTCATTCCGATTTCGAATGTAAACCAAACGGACTCTAAGACTTACAACTTCGTCAATCTCGTCATTAATATGTTAGTTATTCAAGAGGTTGTAAGCTAAAATGAAGTTTGATTGATTTCTATAGCCTTAAATAATAAAGTGAAGTGAGATTAATTAGAAAGTTGTTTGATCCTCTTGTTTGTGTGGGTAAGCGATTCGTCAAGTGTTTCAATTCAGTCTTTCAGATTTTTGCATGTTAGTAGTTATTGGCTTATGGGAATGCATGCAGCTCATAACCTGTATCAAAAGATTTAAAACTATGTTGTTTGGTTTCTTTCATTCCAAATGACATCATGCTGTGTTGCATGCATTGAATGAGCTTAAGCAATATACTAGAATGTACAAGGGAAACTTTCCAACATCAAGAGCCATTCCTTGGTAGCGTTCCATCTAAGGAAGCGAATTTCTTAAATTCATTATGGTTGTTAATATCCCAACATACAGGTCTTCATTTCGGTTTCTCATTACATAGAATTATAAAGAACTACTTGTTAGGTTTTCCTGAGTGCCCAAATGTATAGATTAAATACACCACAGAGGCCAGCACTACCAGGGCAGCTGCAACCATGTTCACAATCAGTTTTCTAGACTCATCCAGTCCAATTAGTTGATTACCAGCACAAGCAGCAGTGACCTTTTCAGTTGACCGGTCCTTAGCTCTTGCTTCATTATCACCACCAATATTGGCTTCTTTTACTTGTTTAGAAATCTTCCCTGCAGCATCGCCAAACCCATCACTTTGTTCCTTCTTTTCTAAAGCTTTTTGGGCTGCATCATCTTTATCACCACTTGGCCTTCCATTCTCCTTCACTCTTTTATCATCATCAGCTTTGTCAGCTCTAATGGCTTCTTGACGAATGTCAGGTTTCGGCTCAGTAGTCGATTTCTGACGACTGGGCATTTCTTGGATTGGTTTTGGGTGCTTTTCCGAGCTCATGGGTTTTAGAGTCACCGCAGGTTCCTGATGCTTGTCAGGCGCAGGCAAGCTTCCGGTTCCGGGCTGTTGAGCTGTAGGTGCTTCTGAGTCTGAGGTTGGTTTAACTTGAGGCTGCTGCTGCTGTTGTTGTGGTTGGGCTGGAGTAATTGTCTTTGGCATTACCACGGTAAGTACATCGGCGCCCAATCTTGCTCGAATGCCACTCCTGTCACAGTTCTCGGGAATCTGAAACTCCTGCTGGAAGCGACTCCATTTGTTGTCCTTGAGAGGCCGCTCTCCAGAGATCTGTATGACCCCAGGTGCAGGAAAATGGGCCTTTAAATATTCCTTCTTAAAACCTGCATGCATGATGAGCAAGAGATGAGACCGAGTCTGAGACCATCACGAACATGCATGATAAATAGTTTTTCTTCTGCTGATTGCTGATTCGGGTCGGTTGTTTTAACCTGACCCAGTAGTCCAATCCAATGTACCTGCAATAAAAACTACATGCATGGATGAATTGAAGACAGGAAAATAGAAGAAATTAAAGACGAACCCGGTAGACGAAGCAAGAGAAATTTAGCTTCATCTTCCTCCTTCCATTCCGACGAGGGTTGGAAATATTCATAGACACGATTGGATACATCTCTTGGCCTTGTATCCATTTGGAGTCCTTAATTATCTCTCTCTCTCTCTTTGGTTTGGAGTCCTTAATGTAGCAACTATATATGAAATCCTGGAATGAGAATGAAAGCTGCTAAAGGGTCTTAATATATATACACGGCCACGGACGGGCAGGGAAGGATGAGGAACATCATTGATTGGATTGGAGATTGGTTTTTGGGCTTTGTTTGAAGCAAAAGTATTCCTTTTTGGTGTGTTGGGGTTTGTGATGTAATTGGATATTTGGTTGAATCATCCTTGTGTTCTTGTGGCGCAAAGTGTAATAATAGGTTCCTTGTTTTCCTTCCACTCTACTAATAGGTGTTAGTCTTGAAGATTCGGTTGTGTTGGTTTTGCCTTAACAGAACTGGCATGCTTTCCACTTTATGAACAAAGAGAGGTTCTCCCTTACCATATATTTTTTCACTCCGATAGATAGCTAGGGGTTATCATTCTTCCCTTCTTGGCCACACCGGATGAGCTGGATGAGATGGAGACAAGACTGTCCACACCTTCTTGGGTCGGTCCAGGTTACAATATAATATAATATATTATATTATTAGATATAACATATTATATATAATATATAGTATCTTTATATTACTATATATTGTTTTATATATTATATATGATAAATTATATACTTAATATTATATTTATATTATTTTATAAAAAATATAAAATCTTTAACATATAAATATTTATGAATTGACACGTGTAGATACAAAACATGTTTTCGAACTATTTTTTCGTAAATAAGCAAATTCAGATTTGCCCTTAATACTCTTCACACCACACTTGTTTCCCAATCTCCTCACAAATAGGAGAGATACTTCTGATGTGCAAGTGCAACGTATATGAAGTTGATGTGAGGAGCATTCTGTGAGGCTGGTCATTGGTGTGAAGAGATCCTGACGAGACCTGTTTATGGGCAGGTAGCCTGATGGGCCGGCCCACCCTGGCCCGGTCTTTCTTAGGCTTGAACATTATTTTAGGCCTGTAAGCTCGGGCTTATGCCCAAAGCACTGGGCTCAATCTTTTTTGGGCTGAATTTGAGCTTTCTCAGAAAAAAGAAAACCTGGACTGAGCCCAAGCCCAGGTCTAATAATATTTTATATAGTAAAAAAATATAATATATTTTTTCTTTGTTTATCTTCTCTTTTATCAAGTCATAATGATATTTTTTAACATTTTTGGATTTGTATGTCATTTAAGATAAATAAATCAGTTTTTATTAAATAAAAAGCAGAAAAAAAAAATCTTTTTGCCCAATTTACAGACCGGGTTTTGTACTTTACAGGAGAATCGGGCTTGGCTCAAAATGTAGGCCCAATGATGGGACTGGACTTGAGTTTGGGCCTAAATTTATTATGTTAACAAAGAGTCAAACCTGACCCAATTCGGCCCCTGAACCTGACATACTTTTTTATGTATCCGGATCTTCTCCTCCAATAGCACTCTAACGCTAAGCTCACAGAACTTGCCACCGACATCAGATACATCTCCCGTAACTATATGGAGTCTGGATTTGCTGCTCACAGTCTGTCTTGATCGCATATCGGGAACATTTCTCGTACTTGTGTTTATTATTCATAGGGAGATATTTCCAATACAGGGTGGAATATGGCTGTGAGATCGGTGTGAGGCACACTCTGTGAGGAACAGATCCCAATTCATCTACATGTTATCTATCATTCACTGGAAACAAGGTTCAAAATATTGATACATGGTGATACGTTGGTAGGGTGTATCGGCCTGTATCGGTACTGTTTTTTATTTTTTTTCAAATCTGGTTCAGAAAGGCCGGTCTATCCTTTGAATCACTTGCCGACCCGAAACACCCTCCGACATATCGAGAAGGCTCCGATACGATATTGACCGATACGTAATAAAATTTTAAACCTTGATCGGAAATACCAAACTCACAGCATTTGCTTTGTGAGAAGCAAATGAGTTCGGAATTGTTCCTCATTCTCACACTGACCTCATACCATGTACCAGTCACACATAGAGAACATCTTCTAATGGTTGTATGTTATTATTAATGGGAGGTGTTCCCAACACAAGGTGGGATGTGATTGTGAGGCCGGTATGAGGAGCAGATCCCAATTCAGAGCAAATCCCGTCTTCTTTTCACGCGATGGTTTTTGAATGAATTCGTCTCAATGCAGGCAATCCAGGTCGGATTTTCTGATAACAAAACCGTGTGCAAATACTCTGACTTGAGTATCCTACCGTACATTAGGAATATCACTCATGAATTTAAAATACAAGGACGGTATTTTGCTTCTAAGAGATCATGGCTTCGAACGATTTTAACATACAAGCAAGAGAAACCATGAGATAATAGAGCAGAACAAAGTGGATCTTCGGAAGAGAAGATGCCTGCCCAAAGCCCAGAGGTGCTCCTCTTCTTTCTTTCCCTCTCCCGGTTCCTTCTTTTAGGTTGCTTACTATTTATTTTTGCGGTGATTGCTAGAATTGCAATAATTTCCCGCAAAACTTCCCATTTAGAAGGGTCCCACAATATCCATCAAAGCAATTACTAGACTTACAATAATTTCAATCAATATAGTACAAAACATGCTGCCACATATTCCATATGCCAATATTTTGGGAAATTTCACACCAAACTGAGAACTTATATCATAAAACTCACTATAATTTTTCAATATTTCTCTTAAATTCATCATAATTTTTCAAATCTTTAAGAAAAACTTGTGTTAATGACATTTTACTTTTCAAAACTCACCACCCGTTAGAGCACCCTTAGGCTATATTTGATTTGAAGAAAAAGATAAAGAAAGGAAAGAAAAGACATGGAAACCAATACAAAGTTTATAAAGATTTCCCTACCTTTTCCTGCATTTTACTTCAAATGAAACATAGCCTTAGTGTTCGTAGACAGAAGTTGTCCATATCAGCATAAATACAATTTTTATGACCAAACTGCTCTTAAATGAAATATTAGCCTTATTAAATATATTTTTATGTCAGCCTAGCTTTTATTCAATACACCTTTGTTCTAACTGACACCTGATACAAGTGGACGTTGGGTCCTATGGAACCACATGTCCTCTTTTTGACCATCGATCTTTTATTGATGTCGGTTCTTGTTGCATTTAAAATTAGAAGGGATAAAATGATGCTTGTGCTGTGCAATTAGATGTGGAGCGTGAGATGAGTTTGATTTGAATCAAAAGCTTTTTTGTAGTGCTGTGCAATTAAAAGGGATAAATTTTTTAGACAGAAATATTTGAGATGCATTTTTGTTGTTTTTTTTATCAAAGTTTTGCATCTAAAAGGGATAATCTACCAACATCCGTTAGCCTATTTAACATCAAAATGGGGTTCTTCAAATTTTGAAAATGCATGGTGTGTTTAAAAGAAATGCTGAAAAGTCATGGTAAATTTTAAACAATTTTCCCTATTCCTAATTGTTGTTAGAATATGCACATATTTCAACTGAAATATAGATGCTATTTGATGGCAACGGGATGTAGTTTTCAAAGCATTAATCATGTCTATATTTACAATTTTTAAGTGTAAAGGAACTCCTAATGCTTTATTGCTTCCTTCAAACCATAAGATAGTAAACCACTTAAAATTGCCCATGAATTTCTCTTTTCTCTTAGGCTATGTAAAGGTTTCCCCACCGTTCCCTTCCTTTCCCTACTAATTCAAACCAAACACAACATCAAGGTTCAAAATTATTACCAAATTTAAATTTTCAAATCTTGCGAGAAGTACAAGCAACTTATTGAACTAGAGATGTTTATGAATTTATGAGATGAAGAAAAAGAAAAATTCCTAGCATGGGTAATGGATCGCGCTGGATGAATCACTTTATCTCTGGGATACCCCGACCATGCCGGGTGGGCCACAGCTTTTTGGTCATAGATCGAAAGCACGAACTGACGAACCTATTACAGATTGACTGGACAGAAATCAACGTTCCATTTTCAGGATCAAGGAACAATTACTTTGGGCAAAGTACTCTCTAGTCTCTACGCTAGAATTTAAAAGAGAAACACTATAAGAATAAGCTGTGTTTAACCTAAAAAAAAAAGGATCCATCTGTTTTCGTGGCAGTTGCCTGCCAGATAACTATTGAAGAATAGCTGGCCTCACGAAAACACCATTAAGAATCGAAAGGCCAGAAAAATTATTGAGAATTCGAAACCAGACAAGCACTGGTAGTAGAGATATCAGATACATGATGCATGCGTTAAACAGGACCAAAAATAGGAAAGGAGTTGGAATCTGCAAAAAAAAAAAAAAAAAAAAAAGAAAAAGTCCTAGAATTTTTTTCTGAAAAATCTATTAATATCTGATAATGACTCACTCTCCTGGAACTTAGCCGATCAATAACTTATTCCCCTCCAAGAAGCTGTAAGAGGGGACTTCCAAGTTGTATGGCGCTGGGCCCTTGCGTATCCTGCCAGAGATATCATAGTGGGATCCATGGCATGGGCAAAACCACCCGCCAAAGTCCCCAGCATTTGGCAATGGGATGCAACCTAGATGAGTGCAGACACCGACCACAACTAACCATTCCGGATTCTTAACCCTGGCAGCATCATCTTGTGGGTCCCGCAAGGATCCCACATCGACACTGTTAGCCAGCTTTATGTCTTCTTCAGTCCTGCGCCTGATGAAGACTGGCTTTCCACGCCACTTGACAGTCACAGTAGTCCCTGGCTCAATGCTGGAGAGATCAACCTCAAGGGAGGCAAGAGCAAGAACATCTTTGCTCGCAGACATACTCAGCACAAACTTGAGAACCAGGAGACGGATCAATGAGGCATAGACAAACCTCCCACCGGTCAACACAAAGTATGCAAACGCCCGCTTGCTGGGATCACCCGGAGGGAAACGCTCATGGTTGTGCTCGTCGTACACAATTTTTGAAGTTGGGTTCTTCACAGTAGCAACAGTTGCAGGAAGGCCCGAAATGATCCCATATTCATTTCTCGAGGCAAGCGACTCAGAAGCAAAACCTGGCATATTAACAAGCTATCAGAAAAAATACACAGGGCCTCCCATTTGCATTACATCACTTGGTACCAGAATGGATTAATAACATGCGTTGACATGAATAGCAATAAGAAAATACTTTCCACCTCAACCAAGAAAACCTTTCGATGTCATTCTCCTCTAGCGCAAAGCAAATGCTAAAAACATTTTCCACTTGCTAATCTCTTGTAATCTTGTGTCTGCTATGTGGAAGCCTTTTTTTTTACCTTTGTTTGGTTATAGTTAGTCCCCTCCAAATGATTCGACAAACCTGTTTTGAGACCTCCCTTACAAGAAAGAGTGGAAAATTTTTGTGATGTACAAAAGTTGCAGTGTTGTAAAGCGTTTGGAAAGAAAGGAGTGCCCAACAATTTAAAGAATTGATAACATTAAAATAAGGTGGTCTATTGGGTGAAGATTTGGACTTCTTATTTGAACCTTTCACAACTGGATGCCATTACCAGAAATTGGAAAACAGTGGTTCACTGCTCTTTGATTAGAGCAATTTCAATTGCAGAATGGAGCCCACCACCTCCCCATACTATAACCTAAACTTTCATGGGTGCAGTCTAGGCAATGTTAAGGATTTCAGGAGTAGGTGTGATCAGAAATAGTGAAGGAAGCATACTTGCTATATATTCAGGTTGCAAAGGGGTCAGGTACTCAACAAAAGAGAGAGCTGAATGCTGTCTTGCAGGGTTCTAAGATGGGTAAAATCATAAAAGTGCAGAAATGCAACAATTTTAGAGGACTAACCAGGTTGTAAGTTGTAAAAAGGTGGCTAGGAAGAGATCGAGAGGGCTCTTGGAAGCAATAGTTGGTACCTTGATCTACTAACAGCCTAGCAGATGAGAACCAGCAAAGTAGAGATGTTGAAGTGCAGAGAGGACTTGCTGGTTGCAAGAAAGCAACTAGGAAGAGATCAAGACGGTTCTTGGAAGCATAGACATATTGCTATGAGTGGTTTGAGAACTGATGAAGGATTAGACAAGTATTAAGTAGGTACCACGATTTACTAACAGCCTAGCAGATGGGCCACCAAAGTAGGGGGTGGCAAGAGAGCAGAAATTTTGGGGTTTAGTACCTGTGGGGTAGGGAAAGGGGTAATTAATAATCTTAGTGGTGGTTAGCTAAGGACCTGAGGCTAGCTACCCATTTCAACCTTCTTTGGAATTATATTTATCCTCCTCATAACTAATATTAGTTTTAAAAGTTATTGATATATATTAAAAAAACTATAGCAGTGCAAAAGCAAGTATTCACAAAAAAAGGTATATTTACAAGAAGATGGTTTGAACTAAATAGCCTTCACATCACAGTATTTAACTATTCATCACAGATTCACAGGTCTTTTTTTTCACTTCTCTCATAATTTCTACAAGCAAAATAGAGCATCGTTTCCCTCTAACTCAAACTAGTGATCTTATTTTCTTCTCTTCCTACTTTAAACACATGCCAAGGTCTTTTAACCCAAAACTTTTGTGATGAATAAAAAATGGAAAGATGAATATGCAGACTACTTTTGAGCTCCAAACTAATTGCCACACATGAGATTCCTAGGTTGTTAAGGGAAGGTCACTAAACAAAATAACTAGCAAATCTGAAGGGTCACTATTAATCATCTGCTTGCAAAAAACACCAACTCTGATTCATTGAAGGAAAATTACTAAAGAGACTTTATGCAAGCAATCAATAATGTACAACCTACATTATTAGTTTGTTCAAAAAAAAAATGTACAACCTACATTGTTAGTTTCTAAAAAACAGTCACCTACCTGCCCTCTCCCTAGTAAAAAAATGAAGAATAAAGCAGAGAGAAAATACAGCCGAAGTACAATCAGCTGTTTATTAACTAATAATTGTGAAGAAAAAACAAAATAACATCATCCGCATGGCCATTAGATAAAATATCGACCTAATATTCTTATAAAATTACTCCACTGGAACCTCTCTACCTAGTTGGGCACTTAGATGAGAGGCATCTAATATGCCTGGGTATTTGCCAAGGGCTTTAGCCACAATGCCCAACAGTCTGACAATTTATGCATCATAATTTATAAACATAGGAAAAAATCATTTGTTGCATGCCAATTGAACAGGATGTCTTCAATGGCTTAGCAGTCTGGAATGCATAGAACATCAGACAAGAGCCAGTTGTACATATCAGTGCATGCAAGGACTTGACAAAGACATTCTTGATTCTACATGTATTAAAACAGGCCCCATGAGGTAATTGCCATATTCTAATTGGTTGGATGTCTGTAATTTGGGTCCATAGCCCGTAAGGCTCTTCATTAAAGGGTGAATACTTCCTAGGTTGAATATATACTTCAGGTGGATCCCTTGATCAGCAGTTAGCAAATTGTCACAAGTTCACCGCACCATCAAGTGCCATCCACCGTGCCCGCAGAATGCCAACCACTTGTCATTGTCTATGTCTTGGGTGGGGCAATACATGTATTTTGTATGAGGGAATACCAATGGCATTAATATAATTACTAGTATGATTTTTCACAATTATGATGTATCCTTCTATCACTCCCCCAAAAGCTTAAGCTACTCTTTGAAGGGAGGTAGGTAGTTGAGTGGTGCCAATATCGTGTAAAGGTTAAGCACGAGGTCCCCTCAACACAAACTTGTGTGCTTGTGCTTGTCACCATTTCATGCAATACAAAGTGTCTTTTGACTAATTCGTGTGCCATCTTATTGCCTTTTCTTGTGTTGTTGCTTGTCAATCAGGCTTACTCGACCCCAACGACCAGCCCCGTGACAAAATGGTATAGCTGACTCACTCGCAAGGGGAGGGATAGGGACATTTGGTTTAGCATAGGGAATTGCAAAAGGATGCAACAAGGAAACAAAGATCCTCTTCATGTTCCTATCTTTTTTTGCTATGTTGCTTTTTATAGTCGCATTATGCCATTTGCATGCTGAGATTCTTTTCCCTACCAATTCACATTTATCTAGTATCTTATAAGCAAGAAACACAACTAAAGTGGAAAAGGTTACTGCAGCCTAATGTGCAAGGCACAAGAACCAAAGTGAGGCATGTCTCTAACCAAAGTGAGCCAACATTTGGGGGGGGGGGGGGAGACTTAAACATACAATAATTTGCAAAACTAAGTTCTAAAAATAAAATATTTCAAAAAGGTCTATTAGTTTAATTGGTTAGATTATCTTGTTACTAACATGAAGGCTGTAACCTTGCATCCAAGTCCTAGATATGTTAAACTGGTTAAACTCTTGGTATCATAGGCACAACCTACAAATATATAAAATTATGCATTGTAAGATGTCTTATACAATTGAGGCTACATATTGCACCTCTGCTTGGGAAGTATTCATCATAAAATTCTATGCTCTTAATATTCCTTTTGAGAGAAGGTAAGATATAGAAATCCATTAATCAAAAAAAAAACCAATACAACTAGGAGTTGTATAATGGAGTATACAAAACACCACAATACCATCCACATATATAGATATTCCCCAAATTTTTACAAAAGGATTATCAAAATCAAAATTCTCTGTTATTAATTAATTGAATGAAATATCTTTTACTTATCAAAAAGAAATAGAAATTTGTATTCAACATCAAATTCAAGGCTAACTCATGACCAAAGCAATAGGCCAGATAAGGCACACCTGGGTTCAAACAAGGTGCATCCCACAAAATAATCCTTGACTATGAACCAAGAGCAGTGTTTAAAAGCACGAGGCGCAAAAAAAGCGAAAGGGGCAATTTGCGCCCAAGGCGCAAGGCACAAGGCACAAGGCACAAGGCACAAGGCACAAGGCACAAGGCACAAGGCACAAGGCACAAGGCACAAGGCAAGGTGCATGCCTTTTTGAAGCAAGGCGCAAAAATGCCAAAAAATTAAAAAAAAAGGTTAGAAAATTCAAAAAAAAAAATTAAGCATAATATTAATAAAAAATTTAAATAAATATTTTAAAAAACCTATTATCTAAAATTAAAATACATAAACATAACACTCAAAGTGCATTAAAATGAAGATTCAAAAATAAAATCAAACATAAACATTTTCAAGCATGTAAAACCCACAAACTCTTTTTTCCTCTCATTTGCATTACTTCAAATAGCTAATGTGATGTAAAGCATCTTGCATTCCTGATTCTATAAGCTGCCTTTGTACCAAGCCCCTCAAGGCAAACCCAAGCAAATCCATGTTAGGGTCTTAATTTCTTAATCCTTACACCAAAAATAAATGATTTTATAATGTTAATTGTCAAGGGGGTTCACAAAGCTTTGGTGCTTGCCTAGAGGGGCTTGGTCGGGGTCAGGGGGTGAAGGGGCGTAGCCTCCGCCTCCGAACCCAGTAGTTTGGTTCAAAAAAGAACAAAAGGCGCATGTCATGCGCCTGGGATGAAGTGCAAGGTGCACCAGGTGCACGCCTTTTGAAAGTGTTGTACCTGGGACCTAAGCGAGGCGCATACCATAAAATGCACCTCACCTAAGTGCCTACATGTGCCTTCTAAATCACTGGCCAAGAGGACCTGGTGTGAACCTTGTAACACTTTTCTCTCATACATTTTATCATAATAATTAGTTTTCAACATTAACTATCAAGGAGATATATACAACACTAGAGAGGGGAGATTAGTTGACTACAAATTGTATAAAATAGTTACATAGTATATGGTCGTGAAAATGAAAGCACATTCCATCTATTCAACATCCCAAACAAAAAAAAAAAAAAATACCTGTTCATCTTTCTGTTTATTTGTTTGCAAGGTAATCAAAATTAAACTCTAAGGTGGTGATTTATGTGGACGTGAAAAACATGCCTAATTGGGGGGGGAATCCAAATGTAAACTAAGATTAAATTTCACATATTCTGCAAGGAAGGAGTAAATACAAGGACCATGAATAAGAATCACACAAGGCAAAACCATGCTGAAAACCTCMGAGAAAAAGCAATAAAAGCATTGTTCTCTCTGCAGCTGTTAGGGGCTACATCAAATTCTCGCTGGTATAACCAATTAAATGCCTTGAAATACTATCTAAATAAACTGGTAGGAATTAAAAGCACACAACGAGCAACAACTTCTATCCTTGGGGAATTTCAGTAACTGACCTTCCCCCATTACAAACACCTAAAAAATCTTCTTTATTTATATCCATGATATTATTTGACGTTGTCTCCTTTAAATTGAATTACAGAAATAGCGCTGCCTGCCATCCCCATCCCCTTTGCTTCGGAGTTCATCAACCAAAAGGCGTGCATTTGGTATTTGGACTAACCATATCATTGGAGCTAAATTCAAAGATTGATAAAATACGAAATCATGCATTATACTGAAATTTTGATGCTCTACAAAACTTCTGTCAAGAAATAATAGTCTTTATTCCTTCCAACTATTTCAATTTGCACCAGGAAAAAAATGAAATTATCATATCAGAAAAGCTAGGTTTCTATTTCAAAATTTAATAATAAAAGCAAAATATGGGTTGGAATTTGGGAAGGGATTCCTTGTACAGTGCTAATACAATGCCAAATACTTAAAGCCGGCCTTGCTCCTTTTTTGTCTCCAAGGCCTTTGTGTTTGTACATCTTCTCATGTACATCCCTCCCCTTTTTGGTCAACAAAATCTTTCTTAAAAAAAAAAAACAATTATAACAAACTGCGTTTAAAATAAAGAGCCGGGCACATCTAACTGCATTTTCTTTGCTTCCATGTTCCCATCTTCATAAGCAAAATACAGATCGGCGTAGTAATTCTTTGAAAATTAATGAAGTTTTAATAATTGCAGCAACCAACAAGAAAATTTAACGAACGAAAATCTTCAGAAATATCCACCAAGAAAACAGAAGGAAACCCTAAGTCCACAAAGGCCGACGAAACTAAGAGAAATGCGAGAAAACCCTAACCTCTGATTGGATCACGAAAAATCGATCTGGAAGAGAATCCATTAGCAGAGAATATCGGTTCGGAATCATCAGACGCGACATCTCCGTTGATTAAGTTCCTGGAAAGTATGGCCGAGGCGGTCTGGTTCGGTCTCCAATACAGAGAAGATAGTCTCCTTCCTGCAACTCTCAACATCTTCTCCGCCTCTTCCTAGGGTTTCTTTGGATCTCTCTTCTTAGGAATACAGAGCGTGAGAGATATCACCTGTCTCTAATCGGCAATCGTAGAAGAGAAAGAAAGAAGACAAAGAAAATAGACTAGACTATGAACATAAGAGGAAGGCTAGCACCACACGCACTTGTTGCGCGTGGCATATGCGACCGACGATTTGTCGACACGTGGATAAATCGCTTCTGTATATTTGATTAACCGGTTGAACCGAGTTGAGACCTCCCGCCAACAAAACACGTTAGTGTTAAACCCCCTTCCAATATAATCTGACACCGCCCAATTTAGACCTGGCAATTGGGTTGTGTGGGTCGGGTTCGGGTTACGTCAAGACACTTTGGGTTGATTTTGGGTTGGGTTGAATTTTTTGGTTGGGTTATCAAATGCTAGAATTTACTCTAAATGTTCGGGTTAGGGTTGACCCATGGGTCAATTTGAGTCATCCCAAAAAATAAGTTAAATTTAAAAAAATAAAAAAAAATACATGAAAATGCCAAAAATAAAGGAATTAATATTAAAATTCTAAATATAAAATTAAAAAATCGAACATTTAACAATTTAAAGAGTAAACAATAAAAAGTAAAGACTAAATAGAAAAATTAAAGAATAAAAACTTCTAACAATGCACAAAAAGTCCTAATTAGACTTTGACAATTGGGTCAGTAGGTTGACCCATAATCCAACCCAACTCAATCCAGTTTTGGATTGGTGAGGTCAGGTTATTCTCACATTCAGATAGCTAAATATAAGACCCTACCCCTTTTCGGATTGGATTAGATCAACTTTTTGCAGGGTTATGAAATGTGTAGTGTCAAATTATGTTAGGAGGGTGTTAGAAGGTATTTTGGCAACACGTGACTAGACTTTTTCTGTCTAAGTGGCTAATCAGGCCACGTGTCAGTTCAGCAGAATCGTGCATGCACCAAACGTAAACTTGTAATGCTAGAAATCACATGAGAAAATAAAGAATAATGAAGGTTCCATGAAAGAGAAAAGAGATGCAAAACAGGCCATTTGTGATTCTGGTCTCCTACTTGAACCATCCTCTATTCAGGACTTCTTACACCGAAATGATTAAGAGTTTGGATTCTATCCTCCACTCAGTGGTCTGCCAATTTCTTGCAAGAGAGATGTTTTAATTGATCTAACTTGTCATATCAATGGTTTTTGACTGTCACGGTGAGTGATGAAATTTATATCAGAATAATCTTTTCATTCTCTCCGTCTTCTCTTTTTTCTTCTTTTCTTTTTTATAAAATAATCACAAAGTATTATTAATTTATTTTAAATAAACTCATAGTATATTTAAGTCAAGTTATGGAGATTCAAGTCTTTTACTTTCTTTTTTTGGGGGGTCTTGATAGACAAAATAAAACTACATTAGCTAGAAAGAAGATAGATAGTCCCCAAAATCCTCCCCCCCACCCCCCACACACACAAAACCGAGCATTCTGAACTATTCTATGAGCAGCTTCATAAAGCTTCTACTTAAAAGGAAATATGCTGAAATTTTAACCTAAAACAAAATATTGTCAAAAATATAACAAAGAGACCAATGACCCTGCAGTATCATGACCATTCAAGGCCCTTATACCCATGGTTATCAATATGCTGGTTGGACATGAACATATTACAGCGGATAAGAGAGAAAGAAGAGAGATTTAAGGAGAGAAGAGAAATGGGGGAATGAAAAAACGAGAGGGGTGTTGACATGAAACTTAATCACTTTATAATATGATATAGATAATATAATAAAATCTATATATATATATATATTAAAACTGGTCCTGCCATGTCAGCATAGCTCTCCTTGCAAACCCCCCTTCTTAGTTTTCTATTTTTTTAATTCCACATAATTACCCATTAAACCAATAAGAAAATCACATATACCTAAAATTTCTAACAATCATAAAACTTTTCTAATGTTTAGCCTAGTGGCACCACTTTCCCCCACTTCCTCCTAAATTGTCTCTAATTCCTATTTATCTCCTAAATTATCTCTAACTCCTATTTATCTCTTAAATTATCTCTAATTTAGTAGAGAGATTCTCTCCTAAACTATCTTTAATTCCTATTTATCCTCTCCCCCACTTTTTATCTATATCTATCTAAAGAAATTTTCAATTAAAAAAAATTCAGAACTTTTAAATGTTATAACCAAATTATATACTAAATTTAAAATATTTATTCAAAACACAAAAAATTAATAGATTTAATAATATTCATATTATTAATAATTCCATATGCTTACAAAAATCATCATGAAATTATGTAGTAACAATAAAAATTATACTTTTATGAATTATTCAATTTAAATGTTATTCAAATAATAAGAATTTAACATTAAAAAATAAAACATTATTTAAATCTTTCAATAACTAAAAATATTAAATAAAAAACATTAAAAATAGTTAAATAATATAACAAAATATTTAATATTACGCAATAACATTAAAATAAATAAAATTCAAATAATGATTTTTTTTAATATTTTAGATATTATTTAAATATTTAAGTAAAAAAATATTTAACATGACAAAATTTTAAATAGTTAAAATAACGAAATTATGTAATAAATTCAAAAAAATCTTAAAAGTAGAAAAATAATTATAATATAATTCATAATATTCATATTAATAATAATTTAATATTTTACAAAATTAATAACGAATTATGTAATAAGAGTACAATTATAATTTTACGGATTATTAAATTCAATAAATAATTAATATTTTAAGAAATTAAATAACAATATTATTTAAATAAGTAAATAATATTGTAAATAACTAATTTCACTTATATCAATTAATAATTATAGAAAATAACTATCAACAAGATTATATTTATTAGTAATAATTTTACAATAATAGTGTATATTTATTATATATTTATATTTACTATAATTAATATTTATTTTATTTTTAGTAATAATTTATTGTTTTTAATAAATATGCTTTCATTAATTATTTTTAAATGTATTTTTATTTTGTTATTTAATAGAAAATCATCAATAATTATTGAAGATTAAAAAACTATTGTTTAACTTTTGAAATTTAATTTATTGTATTTATTGTATTTTTGTTATAAATTTTACTTTTAGTAATTATATATTTTTTATAATTTATAGATTAATACTTATTAGAGATTAAACTATTATTTAAGATTACACTATTTATTGACTAATTGAGTATATTTTTAGTATTTATTATATTTTTGTAATTATTGTATTTTTATTATATATCTATTATATTTTCATTATAAACTTATTTTTAATGAGTGTGTACGTTTGCTATAAACTTTCAATAATTATTGGAGATTAAACTATTGTTATTTATTAGAGATTAGATTATAAATTTAGTTGAAATTAGGAGTGTTCAATGATTGGTTCAGTTCAATTGCAAGCTGTTTTGCCAACCAAATCGATCTGGTCAAGTCCGCAATTTGTCACTCGAAACCGATTGACCACTAGTGAAAATCCACCAACTCGGGTTGTATCGATTTGGGTCTATTTTCGGCTTAATTTTTTTGTTTAAAAGATTTAAACTTAAAAAATTAACTTTAAATTTCATAAATTACAATGATATTATTAAAAAATAAATTATAAAAATTAAATATATAATATAAAATATTTTAGACTAACAAATATGGGAATTTTCCTACTTTCCCATATTAACAAACAATTAAATTTAAAATATAAAATATTAATATATATTTATTAAACTGAAGCCAATCCGGAATACTAGAAAACCAACTAAATCGGGTTTAGTTTGATCGGATTGTTTATTAAAAAGTTCAAATATAAAACATTATATACTCTTATGTATTTCTATTGTTTAACTTTCGCTTAACAATGCACGGGTCCCGTCGCCACCCAACTACCTAAAAATATTCATATAATCTCTCTCCTAAGATATCTCGTTTAAACCAATGGGAAAGTATCATGTTGCCCCACTCCTTAATGAATTCCTAAAATGCATCCCCCCCCCCAATCTATATCCACTCTCCCTCATTTTAAATATTAATATTAATTAATAAATAGTTAAATATGATTAATATTTAATCCCACCCATATTAATTAATAAATAGTATTAAATAGTGTTATTACTAAAAGTTAATAAATACGGTTAGTAAATTACCAAAAATTAATAAATATCGTTACTAATTAACTCATTAACAACATTTTATAGAAATTGAAAACTC